GGCAGGGCATGCGCACGCGGCTGGGGCGCCTGGGCAAGGTCAGAAGGCGCTGTGCAAAAATCCGAGCACTTCGCAGGGCCAGGGGAAAGTGCAAACAGCTGGTCAGCATGGGGCTGGTCCCTGCTGGGACCTGGGGTGACGGAGTCACTGGAAGGTCGTGGAGCGGAGTGATGGCCCTCAGGAGGGCTGCGAGGGCGGCCCTGTTCCCTCACACGGCCCGCAGATCCCTCACCATAGACCTGGCTCTGGTTCCTGGAGACACCGCGTCCATCGACCCCGCGTACCCTTGCACGGTGAACCCCATTGTCATGCTCGCCCAAGCCTTCTGGGACGCATGGATGCCTCGGGAGATTTTGTGCCGTATGCTATTCAACGCGGACAAGGCCCTCAGAGGGGCCAAGACACCCTGGAGCCAGGTCACGGGTCCTGTTTCGGCTGCGCTGGCTTCTTGTTTCAGGATCGGGTGGACTCTTGGAACGGGTGTGGGCAAGTTGTGTACTGCAGACGGTGAAGTGCTTGATCTATGTCGTGAGTGCCCCCGCACAGTGAGGATGGTTGCGCAGTGGGGTGTCGAGGCTTGGCTCCTTGACAAGGCCCGCTGTGAAGAAAGCTACCTTTGTACCCTCTCCCACGGACCCTACCTCGCCCCTTTGAAGGCCCTGGTGTCTAGCCGTACTGATGACGACTGGACTGGCATGCACAAGGCTACGCTCCGATGTCTTGCGGCCAACGGGTTCTGGGGGGATGAGCGGCTGCACAGTGTCGGCCTGAGGGATAGCCCAATGTGCTCGCTCTGTGGTGAGGCTCCTGGGACCGTGGGGCACTGGTGTTGGGGGGACTGTGCGTGCACTTGGGCTTTCCGTCGCGACTACCTAGTGCCACCTTCATTGCGAGAGGGTGCATTAAATCACCCCGACTGGCCCCTCTGGAGCCACGGCCTCGTGGCTGACCCTCGGCCCTGGCTTCCTCGTCCCACGATGGACCTGCTCGTACACTGGCGCGTGCGACCCCCGTCGGGGGCCTTTGAAGGCCCATGTTTTGGAGACGGCTCGTGCCGTTCGCTTGTGGCCTCTGACCCCAGACTTCGCCGTGCTGGCTGGGGAGTTGTCCAGGTGAATTCGAGCGGTCTGGATGTCTTGGCCTCGCTGTGCGGCCCCCTCCCAGGTTTAAACCAGAGCCCTGAGGTTGCCGAACTCTTTGCTCTCAAGATGTATCTTGATAATGTAATGTTTGGCCCCTATGAGTACCTCTCTGACTGTGATTGGGTGGTCTCCAGCTTCCGTAAGGGACGTTGTGAGACCACTGGTGCGTTGCACGCCTGTGCCGACTTATGGGAGGGGGTTTGGGACCGTGTGTCGGACTTGGGGGGGGAGGTCGTTGTGATTAAGGTCAAGGGTCACGCGCGTGTGCGCGATGATGACCTTGACGATGGTGCTCGATGGAGGCGCCTAGGCAATAAGGCTGCTGATGAGACGGCGCGCGCTGGAACCGCCATGCACCCCTCCGATCAGGAGGCCGAGGATCGAGTGATCCGTTCCCATCGGCTGGTCCAGTATGTAGGTAAGTACTTGGCCAGGACCATCCGTGGGGCAGGGCCAAGTCTGGCCTCCGCCTCCCGTCGCGAGGTGGGGCTTCGGAGGGGGCGCCGAATCGTCCCTCGGCTCTCGGATGATGCTGCGCCTCCCGAGGGCACTCATGACCCTGTCTGGTTTCCCAAGGGTGGCTTCAGGTGCATCAGGTGCCTGAGATCGGGGAGCACGATCCAGATTTTGAAGGCCACCCCCTGCAGACCTGGAGCTGGCCACCGCGTTTGGACGGTGGGCCCTTTTGTGTTCTGCAGTGTATGCGGTGCTTATAGCGAGCACAACACCCAGAAGCTCGGTCAAGATTGCCACGGAAGCTGCCCGCGTGGGTCTGTGGCGTGGGACCGCCTGCGTAAGCTGTGGCGTGGTCGCCACCCCCGCAGCGGGATCGAGCTTCGGGCCTCGGGAGTCGGACCCCGCCCCACCCCCTTTGGCGCATTCGCCCTCGACCACAAATTTAAGGGCCTGGTGGTCCTTCCTGGTTCCGAGGAGGAGGATGATGCTTGAGGCTGGTTGGTCCTGGGTCCGCTCCCGTTTTGAACTTTTGTGTTTTTCCTGACGGAGGCACTCGCCCCCCCTTCTTGCTCCTCCTCACCCCGCCTGGGAGGTGCCCGTCAGCCCAATGTTCGCGCCCTAAGCGCGAGGCCGCTGGCTGCTAGTCTCGACTGCACCCCTTGGCCCCACCAGCACAAAACTCCTACTCCTCCTCCTCCTCCTCGTTTTCCTCCCCCCCGTCCTTCCTCCTTCTCGTCCTCCTCCTCCTCCTCCTCCTGCTCCTCCTCCTCCTCCTCCTGCTCATCCGTCCTCCTCCTCCTCCTCCTCTTCCTCCTCCTCCTACTCCTCCCCCTCCTCCCCTCCTCCCCCCCCTCCCCTCCTCCTCCTCCTCCTCCTCCTCCTCCTCCTCCTCCAAGAAGAAGAAGAAGAAAAAAACACATAAACATAAACTTTCGACGATCCGCGCGGATTTCTTGGATCTGCGCTGGGGCTCCCTGGCGGCGCCTCCGGCGCCGCTCTCGGCGCGCTCCGCGCGCCAGGGAGGGAAGCCCAGTGCAAATCCAACAACTCCGCGTGGACCGTCGACCGTTTATGTTTATGTGTCTTTTGTTCTTCTCTCATATTCCTACATCCGTCACCGTTCCTGCCGTTGTCGCCTCCTGCTCCTCCTGCTGATGCTGTGTCCTGCGTGTATTCCCCTGGCTGACGCCGCCCCGCGAGCCCCTAAGCCACGCGGTGTTCTCGGGCGCCGTGGTGTTCGCAGTTGCCATGACGTGCACAGTCGTTATGGCGTACGCATGCGTTATGGGCCCAACATAGCCCAGCGTTCCTGGGGTCAGAAAACTAATCACAATCAACTCAGAGATTGAATTTGATACGTTCGGCCCCCGACGATTTTCTGGAGCTTGGCCCCGTCGGTATTGCCTTCAGGCGTAAACGAACTTTGCCGTGTGCGCAGGCGTTGTGGTGCGCAGGGGGTGCTGAAACAGCGGCTGCGGTGCAAGCAGGCGCCATGGTGTGCGCAGATCGCGCGGTGTACAAAGGCGTCGTGGCACGCGGTTGTTATGGTGTACGCAGTCGCCGTGGTGCACACACACACATGCGATATCTGTAGCAGCCCTGGTGCACAAAGGCATTGTACAGAGCCCATGCTGTGTGCGCAAGCGCTGTGGGCTTGGGCAACGACGACGACGCCGACGACGTAGGCGGCGCGCCTCAGGGGGTGCGCCCCGCGGCCCCAGTTACCGCTGCCCCCCCCCCCCACCCCCGTCTCCCGGGTAGCATGCGTTATCCCCAGGTAATAAAAAGATGGTTTCATTCTGGAGGCCCGTGCTAGGCCTGGCACGGTCAGAGACCGGCTCGGGGAAGGTCTGGACCTCGGGAGGCCCACGTTGTGAACAGCATTGAAAGGTCGACAGTGCGGATATTTGGGATGATGTGGCATGCATTCTGCGGGAACGCGCCACATCCGGTCAGATTCTGGGAGCTTGGACGGGGCAGGAGTCCTCGCATCATCTACACTCGCCGATCCGAACGCGGCCGGCGTCAACCATGTGTTCCTTCAGCGTATATGTGTATGTCGTGTTGCCTCCCATCAGTTCCTGGCGTCGTGGAAAAATGGCGTGTCTGCACCGGGCCTTGGGAACCTCATTGGTCGATTTGGCTTGAGAGGTTAGTTAGGCAAAGGTGGAGCCAAGGGTTGGGATTTTGGCACGTGGTAGTCGCCAGTCGTTTCGCCGGAGTCTCCACAATGTGTAGTCCCAAAGCTTGATGTCGCCAGTAGTTACGTTCATGGAAATCAGGTCGATCCAGATCTGGCTCCCAGCCTGGCGCCGAGCACGTTCGTCTGAGGGGCTTCTGGCAAATTCGCAGGTGGGTCGCAGTTCGTTGAAAGATCATGGCTCCCGCTCAATCGCCACGCACGCTCGCACCAGCTCCCAAGAAGCTACAGAGATGGAGGGCGGCCGCTGGTCGAAATATGAGCGTCGCCGCAGCGCATCGCACATCGTTCCACCGGTGGCAAACCGCTGCAGGGATGGAGGGCAGCTCTGTTCTTAACACGGGTCTCTCGCTCGATGCATCCTCGCGCTCGATCGCGATGGAGGGCGCCGTCACTTCAGAGCGTGACTCTCGCCTTGGCGGGCTCACACTTCAGAGCAACAAGTTTGATGTTTTGCTCACCAGCTAAATCAGATGTCAGGACATGGTTCAAGTCGGTGTTCTGGCCTGGGATTTCGTGCGGCTCAAGATCTCCTGGCGTGACGTTTCACATGCTGTGTGCATGGGCGGAGGACGGTGTCGTTTCAAGCGCTTCTTTCACATGTTCTGCTAATTGCGTGGGTAGGGGGTGAGTTACGCTCAGACTCGTTATGTTGTGTGTACCTCGCTCATTCGAGCATTACTTCGACGGTGCGCGCTTCAAGATTCATACCATTCTCTCGTTCACTGCGGAGGTCCCTCAGGCCCTCACCCTTCCAGTGGTCGCTGCCAAAGTGGACATCATGCCTGCACTGGAGCTTCTGATGGGATGGCGGCCTGCAGCGTCGGTTGTGAACGTTGGGTTTGCCTGGTCCGTCTTCCCCATCGTTATCATCATCATCCTCATCATCCTTATCTTTTTTCTCGCCACATTCCTGTTGTGTCTGCTGTCTGTCTGCTCCTGTATCGCCCTCTTGATACAGACGCTCCCACCTGAGATGCGAGCCTCCTCCTCCACCTTCTCATCCCTCTTGTCGGGCACTGTCACTTCTCATCCCTCTGGTCCTCATCATCCTTTTCCTCGTCGTCCTGATCCCCGTCCCTCGTCCTTCGCCTCCTTCTCTTCGTCCTTCCTCTGCGCCTCCTCTTCGTCCCTCTGACCTGCGCCTCCTACCTCCCCTCACCACAGCCCGCCTGCGGCGGAGCCCGGCAGAAGATGCGCAGGATCTGCTCCGACGAGGCCCTGGGCCCGCAGGCGTTGCTGGACGCGGTGGAGATCGGAGGGCGCCAATGTTACAGCAGGCACGTCAAACAAGAAACCGGCCTGCAAGCAAGCGCCCCACTGTCATATTTTGTCTGCCCACGGGGCTGCAGAGCCATGGGGCATTCTGCGAAGCGCAGGGCCGACAAAGGATGTGCCCCTAGATTTTTTCAAGCAAGAGTTCTGATCGTATGTGCCTACTGTGTATCTGCATCAATCCTGGCCAGGCCCACCCAGAGTCAGGATCGGCCTGGCCAGGATCGGTGCAGGTGCATAGGTTTCGCCATCCCAGGAGAGGGAGATGTTCGATAGGCTCCTCTGGGCCGAGGCGGAGGTGAAAGAGGTATTCGCCGCCTGGCTGGAGGAGGCGGGACAGCTGCGCGAGGGCCTCTCCGAGGCACGGGTGCACCTCAAGGCACGCCAGGCGTGGCTCGCTTTCGAAGAGGATCGAAGGAGAAGTGACACTCTTGTGCCAGAAGGCCCTGAACAGCTTTACAGACTGACGATGGCGGCTCCACCATAGGGAGTCACGATGTGGGGCCACGATGTGGGGCAACGGTTGAGGTGTCGGAATAGGTGTAGGTGTAGGGATGAGGATATAGGGAGGGCTCTGGATGTTGAAATCGGGAGCTATGGATAGGGATCGGGATGGGGATAAGGATAGGGACGGGAGATAGGGATGTCTACTGGACTTCGGCCAATCCCGCTACCGTGCCTGGGTTGTGGGTCAGAGTCCTCAGGGTTGCTTCTCGGGGTCTCTTCGGAGCGCTCTCGGGAGCCTCTGGGGAGCCGCTCTGGAGCCTCTTGGGTGCCTCTGGAGGGCCTCTTGGGAGCCTCTTGGGGCTTCCTGCAGGCCTCTTGGGGGCCTCCTGGGGTCTGTTGGAGGCTTCCTGGGGGCCTCTTGGGGCCTCCTGGGGGCCTCTCGGGGCCGAGGGCTCGAAAGGTCCGTTCGGGCCCTCCGCCGGGGCCCCTCTTGGAGCCGTAGTGGGGACCTCTGCCGTGTGGTGAGTCGGTGTGGATTCGGGGTTACCGCACGGTTTTGGGACTCGGATCGTTCTCCGAGGACGTCTCGGGCGACCGGGGCATGCGAGGTCCCAAGGCCGTGCGCTGGCGGACCGTGCGGTGCGGTCTTGGGGGATTTTGCGAGGTCACCGCACGGTCTGTCACCACACCGTGTCGGGACTCCAACTGAAGCGACCCGGGGCCGTGGGCGACCCGAGGAGGAGGGGGAGGAGGAGGAGGAGGAGGAGGAGGAGGAGGAGGAGGAGGAGGGGGAGGAGGAGGAGGAGGAGGAGGAGAGGAGGAGGAGGAGGAGGAGGAGAGGAGGAGGAGGGAGGAGGAGGAGGAGGAGGAGGGAGGAGGAGGTAGGAGGAGGAGGAGGAGGAGGAGGAGGAGGAGGAGGAGAGCGCCCCGTAGCGCCCAGGAGCGCCCGGGAAGCCCGGGGTCCGGGCCCCTGGGAGCCTCACACGGCAAAGCCCGTGGCCTCCCCGGGGCTGCACGAGCCGCGGGGCGCTCCACGTCGTGCCGGAGGCGCGGTGGCGGCTGCCAGGGAGAGGAAGCGGGATGCAGGGCTGGACGAGCAGGGATGGACGAATATCAGGAGGGGAAGAAACACACAGACACAATGAATCGTCGAGTCCCCCCAAAAATATGGGAAAATATGGGAAGTGGCGGGGAAGGCAAAAACCCAGAAACTATAGGAAAATAAGGGGGATATTCTTATGTGTGTGTATTTATTTGTGTGTCCCAGTTCCCCTTCAGAATAGGGTCGGCAGTGGGAGGCAACGGGAGGCCAACGGGGAGGCCACGGGAGGCCACGGGATGCCGCGTCGCCCCACCACTGCCGGACGCCGCAGGGCCACCTTTAGGAGAAGGAGGCCGGCCACGGGAGGCCACGGGGGGGCCACGTCGACCGATGGAGGGGACAGCACCCAAATGGCCACTCGTGGAGGTAGGAGGCCTGGCGCTCGCGCCCTGCTCGCCGCCCGCCGCTCGAGCCCCGCCTGTTGCACGCCGCGCTCAGCGAGTTTTAGCCCCCCCGCTAGCCACGAGCTCCGCCCTCACGAATTCACGCGAGTGTGCCGAGTTCGGCACTTGACAGCACAATCGTCTCCGTTCGTTCACCTTTGAGCTCTGACGTGGTCGCATATGTGATAACAAGAACCTTCACAGACAAATTGTTTCGGGGAAAACGGCATGCCCAGAGGCTGTCGGAGGTCCATCCATGTTCTTGGTTCGGCATCGCGGCCTCTTGGCGGCGGCTCCAGCTCCGCCCTTGGAGCGCTTCGCGCGCCAGCCGGCGCCGACCCCACAAATCCGCGCGGGCCTCGGAGCGATGGTGTCCGTGCCGTTGCCTGTTTTCTGCGCCACCCCAACATACTCATGCTATCTTTAAGTCGGGCCTGTCTTCTACAGGGGGACGTTTCAACAATAGTCAAAACATAGTCTGGGGACGTGTTTTTTTATATATAATGTTTGAATATTTTGGGGTATCTTCTGGGTATCCTTTATTTTTCGTCCAAATCCTTTTTTAGGGGGCACGCCCGACCTAATACGATGTGTACGTCGCCCCCCCAGGGTCGACGCGCGCCGAGAAACCTTCGAATATGTGCTGTGTTGGCGGGTGTTTCTGGCCGTACCATCTGGTAAACATCTGCTTCAGGGCATTCCCCAGTCAGTGCTTGCAATCAAGGGGTCCTAGCGGATCTTGAAGGATTTGGTGAAAGTTGGCGGCCGATTTCGGTTGGCCGCCGGGTTCCCGGGTTCCCGGTTCCCGGGTTCTGCTTGCTGGTTCCGGGCCGACTTCGGCGGACGGCTGGGTTCCCCAGTTTCTGGGTTCCCTGGTTCTTGGTCGATCTCCTTATCGATCGGTCTCACCATCTATCTCATTGCCCGCCTCTCCATCGATCTCTTGATCGAACTCACAATAGAGGCCATCATCGATCTCAGAATCGATCTCACTATACATCGCACGAGCGATCTCACGGTCGATCTCATTGAACCGACTTCACTTTCGGTCTCACAATCGACTTCTGTATCGTCCTCCTTACTGATCCCACGATCGATCTCACTACCGATATCTCACTCGATCCCAATATCCATACCACTAGTACCCAACCATCAACCAATTGGGGTTGTTCTCTCTGGTGCACTTGGTCTGATGTGGTGTCCGGTTCGGGCGCACGCCTCCGAGGAGGACACCCGGCATACATTAGTGTGTCCCTCGTGCGCCCCGTGTGCGTCCAGAGGAGCGCCTGGGCGAGGACGACCTGCTGGCCTTCGTCAGGGCGCTCGAGGAGCACCACAAGGCCATGGCGGGCGGCCAGGGGCCCGGCGTCCTCGGGACCGTCCTGCGGAACGCCGGCGAGCACCGGGAGAAGCAGACCGTCGCCCACCTGCTGCACTGCCTCATCTGGGGGCTGCGGAGTCTGTCCACTCTACGATTCATCCCTGCCCACGTCCCCAGGCCCTGCCCTCCCCCCCCTTTCAGATCCTGGCCCAGGAGGAGAAGAGAGGGGAGGGAGGGGGGGGGGAAGGAGGGGGAGCGATTCGTAAGTCCGATGGAGTCCAGGGCCCCATCATCATGTCTAGCCGTAAGTGGATTCCTCGCGCCCGGTGGGGCAAGGCCACCCTCAGCAAGAGGTGGGCGAAGAGGACGGCTGCGGCGTTGGTGCACATTTATTTCCACATCGCACACCTCGAGGTCGCAGAGGCGGCGGCGGAGTTGGGATCCGAGGGCCCCGAGCTGAAGGCTGTCAGAGACGCGATCACCGATTTCAGGCCGCTGAAGTACGACAGGGACAGTACGTTCCTGCTGTACTTCTCTGGCCGGATCCGGAACCTGCAGAGGCCAGTGCGCCCGGTGATATTGGTCCTCACTTGCTCCTTCGGTGGTGGGCACCGTGCTGCCGCCCAGGCGGTGTCCTCGTACTTCGCGGGGCTCGCAGAGGTGCAGATCATCGACACGTCGAAGGACTCTGAGTTCTTGGAGAAGGACCTGGTGTACAAGCTCGGGCAGCGCATCGGGAGGCCCAACTGGGACCAGACCACCTGGTTCAACGACGTCATCCTGAAGCGCCAGCTGTACGGCTGGGTGAACGTCAGCGAGGGCTTCGGCAAAGTGCAGGGGGCCATCCTGGAGGACGGCCGGCGGTCCGGCATCGCCCCGCCCCTCCGCTCCCCCGAGGGCGACAGCACGCTGAAGCGGATCTTGCGGGGGCAGTTTTTGAGCTACCACCCCAGCCTGGTCATCACGGTGTACCACATGGACATAAACCCCATCATGGCCCTGTGCGAGGAGCTGGGGTCCCTGCCGCTGCTGCACTGCGCCACGGACCTCGACGTCAAGATGTGGGAGGTGTTCGGGCGGACGCAGCCCCTGTATCCGAAGTTCTGCGTCGGCGTGCCCTTCAACATGCCTGCCTCCTGGGACAGCGTGTCGCCTCTCAGTGGAGCCCAGGTCTTCCTGGCGGGATACCCGGTCCGGACGCAGTTCCTGACGCCCAAGCCGTCGGCCGAGGCTGTGGAGCTTGCCCGCGAGACCCTGCACGGCTTGCGCACGGGCGAGCGGTTGGTCCTCGTCATGACGGGCGGCGGAGGCCAGGAGGTGCCGTGGCCAGAGTGGCTGGCGAACTCCACCACGTGGGGCAGCAGAGCCAGCGGTGCTGGTGGTGCTGGCCCCGAGTCCGCACACGAGGAGCGACTCAGGCTGGTCGTCATCGCCGGAAAGAACGCTGCGTTGGTGAAGAGGCTCAAGGGGGCCCTCAGGGAGGATCGGAGCACGGGCCAGGAGTTGCTCCGGGGGGGCAACGACAGAGTCTCGGTTCAGATCGCTAGGGATCCGAACCCGGAGGCGGCAAATCCGTTCTTCGTCGGGGCGGCGCAGCTCGCTTCGCTGATGGACGTGGCCAGCGCGGCGATCACCAAGCCTGGAGGCGGCAGCACGGCGGAGCTCACCTACCGC